TGCAGGAAGAGAGAGATTGTTATGTTGGTCAGATATTTGGTGTGATGTCTGTTTTGAGGTCACAGTGTGAACAAGGAAAAATTTCTGTAAGTACATATACAAAGCACATATACATGATTATGGTGCAGTTTGCCCCATTAGTTGTCACATAATTATGGCAGGAATAATACAAGTAATTAAATATTTTTACTACCTGCAAGTGAATTTCTTTGGAATGTCTGTTTGTTTCTTAGTCCCCAGACTCAGAATGGCTTGGTTTACTGATAACAAGGATCATTGAACTAAGCAAGAAGAAGAGTTATTTGCAAGAACTTTGTGCAAAGGTCATTGTGGACGTTTTTACACTAGTGAGTACTCAGCCAAGGTCATGCAAAGTAAGGTCTTCATATATATATACATACAGCACATTAGTCATGACTGTACATGTAGTGCAACAATTTACTTATACAGGCTTCTACAGTGGAACCCTGTTTAATCCGATCCTTAATGGGGTGTCTGTATTAAAGGGGTTCTTTAGATAAGACAATGACTGATTGAGCTTTTGTTCGGGCCAGAATAAAGTGTCCATAATAATGAGGTGGCCAATTATTAAAAGGGTTGTCATAAGCCAGGGTTCCACAGTTGGCTTATTACAATAATTAACAATTATTCACCAAAGTGGAGGTAAATATCCATCACTTTCACTGACACTGAGGTGAATACTTGTTTTAGTAAATACCACACAAGCTGAATAACTAGCGGACCAAAGGGTAACTTTATTTGTTTAAGAGTAACTTTATTTGAAACGGGAAGCCATTTTGTTTTTCTTCGGCTGCTCTGAGGTGAATAGTACTTGGCTAATCACCTCCGAGCCAGCCAATCAGCGTGCGCAAAAAGTACTATTTACTTGTGTGGTATATACGTACTAATACAATATACCATAATTATTGCATGGTGGTACTATCATCACTGGTTGTACACAACTGGTATATATGTATCATGAATGTGACAATCTTATTGGCTCAGTTTTCTTGAATACTCACCTTTAATTTCTTTAAGATTTCCAATCAGTTTCTGTATGATATCTAATTTACAATTAGCCTGTTACCTCTGCACCTCTACATGTACATGTACATGTAGCTATATGTATTGCACTATTAGAAGAAGTTTTGAGTGATATACAATAATTATTTTTTGATGTGTATTTATTGATTTATTATTGTACTTGTATAACCATGCATATAGTCAATCACTCTTCACCGGTTGTGTTTCAGGTGTCTACAGATGTGTTTATTAAGTCTGTTTACCCATCTGTCAAAGAGATTGTTGAGAGTGGATGGACACAGGCCACACCAGAAACGCTATTCATTTCTCTTGCAGTTCAGAGATATTGGGGGGTCAGTACATTTTAATCAGTAAAAATTTACTACCAGAATCCTTTACAATTTCTTTTTCTCCTGCTAATTGGTGCAGTTGTCATTTAAACCCTAGTGGGGTTTAAGAATTTGATTAATAAGGAAAAACAAAACGAATTCTGGCACTTGTGGTCAAATGACGACATTGTGCAAGTGTGCTATTATTGTTTTAGACAAGTTCACCCAAAATTTTAATGTGAAGTTTACATTACACTGTAATCCCTATGGCTCTGTTACAAAACCTGACATTGGCAAATGCTGTTTATTTAATAAATAAAGAAGCATAAGCCATGTATTACTCTGTGATCAAACATGACGGGCATTTGAGAACACGAGGGAAACGTAGAAAACACTAGCCACAGGCGTGTGTTTTCTACATTTCTTGTGATATTTGCAATAAATTGTTTTTCTTCAAATAAATATTTTAGGGCCACCTTGATAAGAAGCTAATAAAGGATGCATGGAAATGTCCATTGATAGCTGACAAGCAGAATTATCAAGAAATGAGTACTGTCTTGCTGGTATGAACTCAACTATTCTTGTCAGATGTGCATAGTAAAATACAGATGAGATGAGATGTAGCGCTCGCTCTTTGATTGGCGCATAGTCATTCTCACTAGCCCCCAAAATTTCATCTCTAATATTACTTCTGTGATTTGAGTTTCCCCAAAAGTGTTTCAAGAAACTTCACTCGCCCATCAGGNCAGTTTATTTACGCTTGAGGGACACCAAGATGGCAGATAGTAACCATTGCTAGGCTATTGGTCACGTGGGTGAAACCCAAGAATAAATTTTACTTTGTAATAGAGTGGTTTTCAATCAAGTGTCATAAAGCCAAAACCAAACCAATTACTTATCAATTAGATAACTCACTACAGCCAATCTGAAACTGTAATAAAACCAAAACCAAAGTAATTGCTTGATTACTTTTGACACTCAATTGAACAATGCATTAATTGCTTACACATGTAAACACACATCTAGTCTGCACACATTCTTTAACCACCAAAATTAATGTGTAATGTGCTCAGAGGCAGTGTCCCATTATAGGAGTGTTTGTCTTTCTACTTCATCTTAGGCATCAAGTCTGCCTTCATTAGTGACTGAAAATGCAGACCCTGAAGTCACTGCTATGATATTAAAGCAGCTTTTAGGAAGGTAAATATGCAAGAATGTTGTTTGTGTGTACATCAGTACCACTGCTATAAAAAATCTTGGTATTGATGAGAACATCTTGTAGATGCTGACTATTGTTCGAGTAAAACTAGTAATTAAATATTGATTAAAGTTATATTTTGCAAAATGATCAGACAATTAGCTTGTGTTTTCTATTTAGGAAACAGTCATTATAGCCAGATAAAACATTTCCATTGAAAATGAGGGTGACCTGTTTGCAATTGTGTTAGTGGACACTTTAAAGAAACGAAATAAGAAACTTTCAATTTTTGTCTATTTGTGAGCAAACCGTTAGGAATTTTCCTTTTCAAAGGGCAAACTTGCTCCAAAATCATGTTCTATGAACAATAAGGCAATGATGAAAGGATCAAGCATGCATACATGTACAAATTGATCACTTATACATGTAGATGCTGTGTAGTAATTAAACATCATCATACATTTCTACGACAGTAGAACCTCACTATTTCAAACTTGGTTATCTCCAACCTCCCACTATCTCAATTAGCTGTTAAACTGCAGTTGAGTCTGTGGTCAAATATTCTTTTTTTTAAAAAGGTATGCATGGAAACTTGGTGAATGGATCAATGCAAAGAAGAATTTACCTTTTTGCCTTTTTTGTATGTCAAACCTCTCACAGCTATTCAAATCATTTTCCCCTGGCCTTGGATATACTTTTTCAGTCACTTTCTATCTGCTTTCTTGAGCCCCTGACATCTCTCAGTCTCATTTATTATTTTTTTTGTTTTTCATGAGAGTTTGAAGTGTGGAGTTCAACTGCAGAAGCTATTTTTGTTAATTAAAAATAATTTCCGAGTTCTGTACTATGTAACTTGTCCTACTAAACCTACTACATGTAGCTAGTTATTGGGTTTGTTATTTGCTAGACAAGGAAATATGCATTTTGACAAGCTCACAAAAACAAGGACTGTGGACAATCTACTTGGAACTGTGAGTGTTGTTTGTATTTGTTTGTTTTCTGGTTTTCTTCCTTCTGCATGTCAAATACATCAACAGAGACCTGCTGCATTGGACCACAAATTCCATAGCTTAACGGAGAAATCCAGCAAAGCTAAGATTAGTAAGCTAGTTAAATAAAAATCCCAGCCAGCTTTTTCATCCTTTGCCTCTTCAAATTAGCCTCTTCATTTACCTGAAATATCAGTAGGCGATAAGCTCTATTTCATCCCAGGAAATGACATGTAGCCAGCAGCTGGCTTTTGCAATATTCTTGGAGATCTTACTCAATGTGCAAAAATTTGCAATTGAATGAGAAACAATCAGGTATAATAAAGGAACTCTGTTCAAACTGCTTGCATGGTATTTAATTATGGGTATAGACTTTGTAGGGTGAATCTCCATTTAAGGATGACTGGAGTATGAGAGAGTTATCAGGTTGAGTTAAAGAGGAAAACTGTGAATTAGCAAAAGTGAAGTTAGATGATGTCATTACTTTGCACAGCTTACAGGATCAGGGTCAAAGATGTTTGTAGCATGGTTGATTGAAATGTTTGAACATGGATTTGTGGAAGGTGTTACAGAAACAGAGTAAGATATTGTATGATTGTGTTACTTAATGTCATCTGGCAAAACCTACATGTATAAGAATATAAGAAAATTACATATACATGTACATAAATGTACAGCTCAATGCTGTAGTAAAATTGAGTACATGAGTTCACATCATTTCCTTTCCTTTTTTGTTCCTAATTGAAATTTGAAAGCTAAACAATTAAACAGGGTTGTCCATTGTAGATCAGTCACAAAATTTAATACTTGGCTGTATTATAGACAATTATAATAATTACATGTTCAGATTCCTATTAACTGTCTGGCAGACATTGTGTATAATCAACTGTATATGTTTTGTTTGGGAAAATCCACTAGACATAATCACTACATTTTGGTAATTGATAGTGTGTTGGAATATCCTATATTTGTGCATTGTGCAAAGGATTGAACAGTCAGCAAACTTACAACTTGCTTAGAAATGTAATTTTCTTTTTTCCCAAGCAAAACCATATTCTCAGCCTAATTTAGTCCAATAACCTAACCTCTTGTAATCTAACCAACCTTCTCAACTGTTTTCATTCAGTTCTTCAGCAAAGAGTCAAGAGGCAACTAGGATAGCCATATTGAATCAAGTTAGTACCTGTTTGCAACTCATTCTTAGACAGTTGTAGTCATGTGAAAATTATTGGATATGGACTTGCTGTCACATCTATGCTGATTACAGGGAAGGAAGCTCTTGACAGTAAATGTACCGTTCTGTTATGATTCAAGGAGCATATCCATTCTAATGTTATAGACACACATAGCCATTAAAACTGAACCGTAATGCATATCTAAGCAAACCTGATGGTTTTTCATTAAATCTATGAGCAATACTGAACAGCGCAATAGAAAATCATGCTATTTGATGAGGTCAGTGCACCCACTGTACAATTTTATTTATTTATTTTTCATGCTTGTTTGGTTCTTTTCAATGTAGCTGTACCAAATGGTGAAGAAAAAGGCAGCCTCACATGAGAGAGACTGGGTACAACAAGTACTGTTCTTCTTTCTTGAACATGCATACTTCCAACCAGTAAAAACNCCCCCCTTAAAGCCTATACTACACTAAATTGAAAGACCAAAAAAATATGAGGTGAAACTAATCTACTCATACTGTTTTTAATCTTACATAGGGCTTTTATTGAGTTTATTTTCGTTTACCCTGGGTGTACATCCTCGTTTATTCAGGTGCCACCTCTTTCTGGGGATATTAATGCCAGGGACAATATCCTATTTACGTTTCTAACCCACTAAGTAGTGGTACTACTAGATGTTTGACTGTCATTTTTGGGGAATGTTTGCATTTCTTGTAGGCAGAAAAGGCATTCAAGAAAGCAGTGAAGTCTATCGAGAGAATCCAGAAAAAGGTACCATTCAATTTTAATTCCATTCTTGAAAAAAACTGTACTTATCTGTACTATGTGACACTGTAATGACATGGCTCTGTTAACTTGACCCACCTTGGCAAAAGAAATTGCATTTTTCAATTGTAGCAAGCAAGTACTGAAGTACATGTACTTTATTACCATTAGCATGCACACAATAAAGGAGCCTGTCCTTTCTCACATGTCAGTTTGGAAACTAGGCGTTCAGAGTGCAGTTGTACAGAACTGTACCTCTTGGCCGAGTCGTTTTCATCATAATGCATTCATCATAGACTTGATTAGCTGCACAGTAATATATTGACAGTACTAGATGTAGCTCTCTGTACTGTGACTGTGTGTTTGCCTTATTGTTGTTGTTGCTTTTGTTTGTTTGTCTTCCCTACGCGTCAAATTATTTTATCCTATAAACTGCTTAGATGTAGCTACATTGTTATTAACGAAGAGAGTTTTTTCATTGGCAGAGAAGAAAGAGTGAAGCACCTCAACATGAAGATGACGTATTTGAACTGCTTTTCTCACACATGGCGCTGAATTTGTTTACTGAACCAGATCAAGCCATCGACATTTTGAAGGTGACCAGACAAAAAGTTAATGTAAAACATGTAGTGCTATGCATCTAACTGGAGTGCCCTTTGTGTGATAATAGCGGAGCTCCTGCGCGCTGAAGGCGCGCGAGCGGAGCCCCATACCTTAGAAAATTTGGTAACCCATCGATCTGAAAAATTTTGGTTGTCACGTGACTGTCCGTACGCATGTCCGTCCGTCCGTACACCAATACCTTGAAAACTAAGAGTAGCACCATTACCATAGCTACATCTTTGATTTTGGGCGCCCACGCTATTGTTAATTGACAGCTGTCACAACAAGCTATCCGCTGACCAGTATCACGTGACTATATCGCGGGCTCAGGTTTAAACCCCATCGAGGTTGCGTGCTTTTTTAAAGTTGACCGCTGACCAGTTACATGTTTAACGATTGGATCGGGGGCTTAAGTCACGTTATTTCTCTGGGGGAGAAGAAAGGAGTACTCGCAAAGGCAAAATTTCGGTGCAAATTAACCCCTGGCACGTTGTTGACTTTTCTTCTGACATATTCCTTGTACAATCGTCTCTTGGAAAGCCCCTGATATATTGCGTACGTAATTTCTACAATATTGGTTAGGCTTGTTGGGTATAGTTTGTTAAAATTTAACTGGAAAAATAGCAAAACCCACGCTGAACAATTGCATGCTCACAATTGATCATTTTTTGAGTTTCTGATCCAAGAAAAAATAATTCTCTTTTTCCTTTATCGTCAGTTATCGCAGTCAGGAGCTCCGCTTTTAGGCTTGGCTAAATCTATATATTAGTCATTGTACACGATAAGTTGTAAAGGAAAACAGATTTCTAAGTTACCCCATCAGTAAACTGTGGCTGTTTTCTTAGCTGAAGTTCAATCTCCCCACCTTACTCTGGATATCTTGCTATCCACTGTCTACCACCGTGTTGTATTTGTCCCCTTCTTTTCCTTCTCCCTCCAGAAATGAAAATGAATGTCTGAAAATGAATGAAAATCAATTTAATGTCTTATTACTATTTTTCTAGGAACTTAAAGCCTGCTTTGAAAGACAAAAAGCCAAGAAGGAAGAGGACAGTGATGGTAAGACTTTCGCACTTGACGTTGTAGCTACCTTAAAATTAGACGTGTCACAAGACGACCTTTGCTTGATCCTTCGCTTATTCATGTCCCTCGAGCAAGGTGAGAGAGCGACGAAGTCGCGAAAGGTTGACCCTGGCTTTCCAAAGGCGAAACCAATAGGGTAGGGAAGAATCACTAGAAAGGACTTTTAGAAAGTCAATCTTAAAATGTTTGCAACTCCTTTATGACACAGAATCGAGTGCAAAGGACGTTTAACTGGTTGAAGGTTAAGCATGAGAACAGGTGTTCTCATTTTTGTATATCTGTTGCATAGTCAACCCAATAATGTGCCCTTTGCAGCTGAAGTTGTCAAAACAATATCCCAAACTGTTATGACTTTCCTCTTTTACAACGCCTGGTCGTCTCTTCCCCAATTTGTTTTTTAGTTGGCCTTGGCCATACTGTAAGTTGGTGGGGCGGGTTTACTCTTCTAAGCGTCCCTTAGGCGCAGATGACAAATGGTCCGTTGTTGATTTTGGCAAGTATATTAGCCACTCGACAACCGTTTTGACGGAAACTGTAGGTTCTGCCAGTCCCAAACTGAAAATAATTCGTGTTCCGTCTCTGTATACGTCTTCATGCCATAGTGGTGCTGTTTCTTGTTGAATTTCAGAGGAGCCCCACTGGGTGGAGGTGTTGACCGAAGTCTTACTGAGTCTGTTGACCAGACCCTCTAGTCTGTTCCGGCATGTTGTTGACCAGGTATTCACCATACTCGCTCCACACTTGACGCGGAATGCCCTCATTATGATCTTAGAGGTACGTGCATGGTTTTTTTTTTTTCTTTTTATCAGAATCCATGAAATGCTTGGCTGTATTTGTTGTTGTTTTTGGTCAGTCCACATGTGGAGATCAAAGCCATGCTCAGGCAAATCAATTGTATGATAATCGCTGCAAGGTACATCCTAACCACGGATAGACACGCAGCAGTCCAGACTTCAAAGTTATATTTTCTCTTCTCTACCATCTGGGCTTCAAAACCGCGATGGGAATCGTTCGTGAGTGAATCTCATTTTAATGTTACATGTCTTCAGGGTTTTGTCCATCATGTATTTACATGTAATGACCAAATAAACAAGGGTTACAGTGTTTTGGTTCTATATTAGAACCATTCTCAGGCAAATCAAATAAGTGAAAATTCCTTGTGTAAATGCATGTTTGTTTACAATGCATGAATGTTACTAGTTTTGTTAATGTTTGGATTTTTGTCAGAGTTTGGATCCAAGAAAAGGAGCTCAGGGTGAAACGCTGGAAATTGCTGATGAATCAGGTAGGTGAATAAATTGCGCCACGATAGAAAAATAAACAATTTTTCCTTGTTAACCAGTTGTTATATGATCTGCACACTGATTTTGTTTTGGTATGCTGAGGAATCACATTTATTATATATTTCATAAAGATAGAACTTGTCCTTTGAATGATGATAAGTCTGTCCAAAGTAATCAGTGGAGATCCATTGTTTACTTGACTGAAAATCCGTTTTGGGAAAAAAAAAAAAATTAAATCTAACGAGAGTTCGCCTTTCTGGTGGCATTGTGGAGCACTGGATATTTGTTTCTTATTATTTTGGTATTAATTTTTGGCAATTTTTGGTACATGTAGAATTATAAACGATAGAAAGTTGGGACGAGGGGTGGGGTAATTTATAAGAGAGACGTGAACTCAATGAAACAAAATGAGTGTGTTTGAAGAGTTGACGTTAATAATTCCTTATTAAAAGGATTTCTGATTAGTTTTTTTCTCTCCCAATTGTTGCTTTTCTGAAAAGTTTGTGAAAGATTTCAAAACCTCCAAATTAGCTTGTGACTGAAACAGCTGCACTGCGACATTCTTTGCTGAAAAATCCACAACCAAATGGTGGGGCAAATTTTTACTTTACTTTGTTCTTGCGGTAAATGTTACTCCTATTCAGGTGACGATGAAGATGACGAGGAAATCGAAGACGATGAAGGCAAAGAAAAGGTAACTTAAAGGACAAAACGGTAGAACTGAGCTGTAATGGGATTATTATTTTTTAATTAACTACCTTTACCTTTAGTTAGTTCGACTCCCAACTCCAACCGCTGCAGACGGTATACATGTGAAACTTGTTCAATGCACGGTTGAAAGACATTTTTATTCAACCGGAAGTTTATATGATATTAGTTTGCTGGCACTCAAAACGCGTTCCTACATTGAGTACATTCTCTAGTTCTCCCACTCAGTCTGTCGCGTTCCCGACTCGAGTCCTTGCTATGGAAGTATCGGTCGGGATTCGCTGTGTTCAAACAGCACACTTCAATTCATTGCTTTCTGGATTTATTATGTTAATCTATGAAGCGTGCGGTGAGAACTACAAATTACGTCAGTTAAGAAATGGCTAAACGAAAGCAAGAGGAACATGAACAAATGTGTGGTGAAAGGTAAAACTAAAACAAACCTTACGTTATAATTCCTGACTCTCGTTGAGAACTGAAAACACTTTAGACTCCCGGGAGACTCCCAAATAAAAAGGACAGGAGTGCTCATCGTACTTTTTAGGGGTTAAAAATGCAATTTTGGTACTTCTTACGGTGTTCATTCTCAAAAGGTCCACAGCAGGAGCTTTCGCGCTACCTTTTAGGGTATTGAGCCAAAACATATATATGACAGCAGATAATGTGTTGTTTCAGAATTGGTACCTCGTACGGGGTGAAAAAATTTCAAACCACGCCCAGAAAACAGGATTTTGGTACCTCTTAGGGTTTCTTTTCAAACTTTCCGACGAGCATCCCCGTCCTTCTGATATGGGAGTTCCCCAATAACTACCAAGAACTGCTTCTAATACGTGTCTTCGTTCTCTCCAAGCATCTCCTGCTTCTCGTGATCACATTACATTATGGTGGGATTAAAAAAACACTACAGTGAAACCTCTATTTAGCGGACCCCCAATTAAGCGGACACCCTCCATTAAGCGGACATTTAGCCTGGTCCCAAAATTAACCTCCTATATTTCGCTTTATAATGAACCCCTCTTCAGGGGACACCTCTATTAAGCGGACGAGGACACTAAAATATATTGTATTTGGCTAATTTCTATTGTTAAAAACCTCTATTAAGCGGACACCGAACTGAATTAACAATGTGGCATTGGATTACGTCCTTGAAATAGTCGATTAAATAGTCGATTAAATGTACCCGTATTATCGTTGCCGTATTGAAAGGGCATTGTTACAAACAAATTAAACTTGGCAATGAAAGCTGAATAACTTGAACTCTGTATAGTTTCGTTAACAGCCTGGAACTTTATAACAGTACAGAGGAACCGTTGGAAATTAGCAAACATTGCGCAATTGTCATAAACCTTTATTAAGCGGACACCCTCTATAAAGCGAACACTTTAGAAGGTCCCGAGGGTGTCCACTTAATAGAGGTTTCACTGAACAGAATGATAAAAATAGATCGGACGTAACGCAGAGCTTATGTTCCTGACACATTTATCTGAATGATGTCGTTAGTAATAGAGATTTGTTTTACAATTCTAGGTAGAGTCCAATGGTGCTAATAATGAAGAGGATGATAACGATGATGATGAGGAAGGTAGCAGTTCAGATGATGAACAGGAAGACGCTGTTGGTGTAGTTGACGAGGCATTCAGGGCGGAAGTACAAGCCGCTCTTGGTCCTGCTATGGTTGACATGGAAAAAGAGGTTTGTCTAGATAGACCGGTTTTCAATTGAGTGTCGTAAAACCAAAATCAAACCAGTTACTTACCAATTAGACTACTCGGTCAATCTCAAACTGTAGTAAAACCAAAACCAAAGTGATTGCATGATTAGTTTCAACACTCAATTGAAAACTGCTCTATCACGTGACAGTTATTACTGTTAACTCTGAAATGCTGAACCATTAGGTAGCTGATCTCCTTACTGACTGTTCAGCCTAACATGATGATTTATCTTTACAGGAAAGCAGTAGTGAGGACGACTTTGATGACGAAGCCATGATGAAACTTGATGATGCCCTCGCTGCAGTTTTCAAAACTCAGTTGCAAGCCAAAAAGGACAAAAACAAGAAAAAAGGTGAAATTTTGTACTCATGTATTGTTTCTGTGCACTTTTACCACACAGAAAACAAGTGCCCCTATGTGTGGCTGTAGAAAACTGTTGTTGTTTTCATCGAATGTTCTTTGAATTGACGCAATCACTTGAATCATTTTGCAAACCACCCAACACCACGCAATTGTTGATAAAACTTGCCTCGGGATGTTTTTTTGTTGCACTCCCATCGAGCCACTGTACTTAATTAGGGTGCGTTCCTTTGGGGTGATCTGGATCAGGATCAGTGATCCAAGATCACTCGGATCATGGTG